TTACTGTACAATTGTGGAAATCTTTTCAGAAAGGGTTGGGTTCTAAGGTGAACTTAAGTACTGTCTTTCATCCTCAGACTGATGGTCAAGCAGAGCGCACTATTCATACATTAGAGATATGTTGAGGGCTTGTGTGATTGATTTCAAGGGGAATTGGGATGATCCCCTACCTCTCATTGAGTTTGTTTACAACAACAGTTACCACGCTAGCATCTGAATGGCTCCATACGAAGCTCTTTATGGGAGAAGATGCAGATCTCCTATTGGATGGTTTGAAGTTGGTGAAGTAGGGTTGATAGGACCAGATTTAGTTCACCAAGCTATGGAGAAGGTGAAAGTGATTCAAGAAAGGTTGAAAACGGCACAGAGTCGTCAAAAATCCTACACTGATGTTAGGAGAAGAGCGTTAGAGTTTGAAGTAGATGATTGGGTATATTTGAAAGTTTCACCCATGAAGGGTGTTATCAGGTTTAGTAAGAAGGGGAAGCTTAGTCCCCGGTATATTGGACCTTATCGCATAGCCAAGAGGATTGGCAAAGTAGCTTATGAGTTGGAGCTACCACAGGAGTTAGCAGCGATTCATCAGGTATTTCACATCTCCATGTTGAAGAAGTGCATGGGCGATCCTTCATTGATCATACTAACTGAAAATATTGGGATCAAGGATAGCTTATCCTATGAGGAGATCCCTGTCCAGATTCTAGATCGTCAAGTTCGCAAATTGAGAACAAAAGAGGTAGCATCAGTCAAGGTCCTTTGGAGGAACCAATTTGTTGAAGAAGCTACTTAGGAAGCTGAAGAGGATATGAAGAAGAGATATCCACATCTCTTTGAATCTGAAGAAAGTGCAAATCAAAGTACTAATTTTCTTCTTAGTGCTCTTTAAATTATGAGTGAGCATGTTGTTTGTTTGCATTTACTTTTGGCATGGTTGAACTTGATGGTACCACCCTTAGCCTAATAAGGGTAATCTCATTCGAGGACGAATGTTACCAAGGGGGAGATATTGTAACATCTCGCAATTTGAAATAACTAGAAAAGATGTGTAAAATCTGGAAATAGTCATTTTTGGAAAGTGTAAGGAAATCTGGAAAATTTTAAGTACATTAAAGTGAGTTTTTGGTCATATTCAAACGACCATAACTCCTAGCTCAGGCTGAGTTAGGTGTAGTTCCAGATATGGTTGGAAATATCTTGGAATTATCTTTCCAATGCAGCTGAGTTTGCGTGATTTCGATATTATATGAGTAAGTTATGCCTTTCGGAAGTTGGGCTGTTGGATTAGGAAATGTCCAATCCGAATTTTTGAAGGGCAGTTTGGTCTTTTCCTTACCCGATTAATTAAATCCATTTTAGTAAATTAATTGGGGTCAAAACTGAGTTAGTTCAGTTTACGCTTTTGAAAAATAGAGTTAGGGCTTTTGGAGAAAGAACGCAAGAGAAAGGAGAAGAGGAAAAGCAAGATTCGCCAAGAACGATCAATTTTGGTTGTGGATTCGCTAAGAAATTGATCCTACAAGGTATGTGAGTATCTCACAGCATTGGGTTCATTCACCCTCGCGCCAAGCATGTTTAATTTAGTGAGATTCGTCCTAGAAGAGTTGGAAAATTGATGTTCTTGACAAATATTCTTGAATTCGAATGTTGTTAGCGAATTAGGACGAATTGAGAAGTTTATGAAATCATTACATTGAGTTTAGGGTTGCTTTGAGTTAGTTTCTTGAGTATACATGCTGGGCATCGGGAGTTAAAACGAATTTGAGGAAGATAATCGAATTTAGATGGTTTGAGGTTGAAAAACGAAGAAGGAAAAAGTCGAGTAAGGTTCATGAAACAAGTCCGCGTCGCGGACTTGTTCCCACAGTGAACAAAAATCTACTCCGTGTCGTGGAGAGGACACGGACTCCAATGTCTCAAATTTTAATTTCGCGAATAATTATTTAGGAACACCTCCGCGTCGTGGACTTGTTCCAAGACGGTGATTTCATAACTTTTCTCAAGTTTAGCTATTCGAAATCATTCCTAAACATCAAGAGACATTTCCTATCACAAATCATAATCCTTGAATCCATAATTCAATTCAAGGAAAGTTAAGAGTCAATTCAAGTGAAGTTAAGAGTCAAGTCAAGTGAAGTCATCAAAGTTTCAAGAGTGTTTTACAAATGTTTTAACTTTGTTTTAAGACTAAAAGTTTCAAGTTAAGCAGAGATTAAAGAGTTGAATTCATTTCTCAAAAGGCTATTAGGGAACTAAATATTCTCAAAGAGTTTATAAATGTTTTCACATTTGAGCAAGAAAAGGGAACATCGATTCCAAGAGGGCTTTTAAGCTAAGTTTTGAGTAATTATCTCAAACCAACGAAAGAAGATTGCTTTTAAACATATGAGCTAAGTATATTTTTGGGAGTAGTATTGAGCACCGATATGGGGATGCGAGTTCATATTAACTCAAGTTTCTAACTTGGCCAAAAGTGGCAACCCAAGTCTTTAACATAAGAATGATAACGCAAAGACTATTGAACTACTTAACTATCTATGAAGCCTCTAAAATAAAGAGGGGTGTCGGGACAGGACCCCTGATCATCCTAACATCTGAAAAACTAAAAAGCAAATAAAAGAGTCTTCCGGAATACAAGGAAGCTCACCAACAGACTCAGAATGCTCAAGCTGGATCAACAAGGCGCTGGATGCTGATCCTGGTTACCTGCGTCTGCATCATAATAAGATGCAGGCCAATAGGCATCAGTACATTGAATGTACGAGTATGCGAGTTGGAATGATAACAAGCATAGGCTCGAAAGAAATTATGGAAGAAACACCTACCTGGCTCTTCTCAACTCATGGATACTCAACTCAATATAAAGCATTAAAACACATGTGATATATATAAAGCTTATAAAAAAACTGAATACAATATTATTTCATTAAAGATATAGCAATAACAAACTTAACTTTACTCATTTAGAAAATAATATAACTTATGTGGGAGATTCTCTAACCGACAACCATCACTATGAGCCTAAGTGATGGTACAATGTTGCCTCACGTTGCCAAGGACCGTCCTATACCTTGCCATCGGTATAGAACCTGAACTACTAAGTGGATCCACTAGTCTATGCTAAAAAGCACTAAGGAATCATCTAAAAGTATGATCATTTTTCTGCCCATGATGGCTACATGGTTTATGGAGGCTTGAGTTAATATGAACTCGCGTCCCCATATCGGTGCTCAATACTACTCCCAAAATATACTTAGCTCATATGTTTTTAAAACAACTTCTTCTCTGGTTTGACATAATTGCTCAAACTTAGCTTAGAAAGCTCTCTTGGAATCAATGTTCCTTTTGCTGTTCAAAACTCTTTTGGAAATCTCAGTTTCCTCTCACCCTAAATGTGAAAACATTTACTCTTGGAAATACTTAGTTCCCATATATCATTTTAAAGAAAAGGAACTTTGCTCTTACTCTTTAATCAACTTCAAAACTTAAGTCTTAAAACAAAGTTAAAACGTTTGTAAAAGACTTATGAAAACTTGAAATGAACTTCTCTTACTAGACTCTTGACTTCTCTTGACTTTGATCTTAAGTGCTCTTGACTTGACTCTTAACTGATCCTTGAATTGAATTATGGATTCAAGGATTATGATTGGTGTTTGGAAAGATCTCATGTTGTTTAGGAATGATTTTATATAGCTAAACATGAGTAAACTTCACGAAATCACCGTCTTGGAACAAGTCTGCGATGCGGAGATGTTTCTAAATAAAGGTCGCGAAATTAAATTTGAGACAGAGGAGTCCACATCCTAACCGCGACGCAGAGCAACTTTTTCACCCTGAAGGAACAGGTCCGCATCGCGGACCTGGAACCTGTTCCTTGTTCGACTTTTTCCTTCTTCGTTTTCCAGCCCCAATTCGCCTAAACTCGATTATTGTTCTCAAATTCATTTTAGATTCAGATACCCAATATATGTACTCAAGAACCTAACTAAAAACAACTCTAAGACTCAACGTAAAGATCTCACAAACTCATCTATTCAACCCAATTCAAGAACGACATTCAAATTCAAGAATATCTATTAAGAACATCAACTTTCAAACTCTTTTAGGACAAATTTCGCTGAAATAAACATGCTTGGCGCGTGGGTGAACGAACCCAACGCTATGAAAGACTCACACACCTTGTAGGGTCAATTCCTTGGTGAATCCGCAACCAAAATCGATCGTTCTTGGGCGAATCTTGCTTTTCCTCTTCTCCTTTCTCTTGCGTTCTTTCTCCAAAAGCCCTAACTCTATTTCTCAAAATTTTAAACTGAACTAACTCAGTTTTGACCCCAACTATTTTATTAAAAACGGATTTAATTAATTAGGTAAGGAAAAGACCAAACTACCTTTGAAAAAATCCAGATTGGGCATTTCCTTATTCGAACAACCCAAAAATCCGGATTGGGCATTTCCTCATTCGAACAGCCCAACTTTCAAAGGGCATAACTCATTGATACGAACTCGGAATCACGCAAAATTAGCGGCGTTGGAAAGATCATTCCAAGAGATTTCCAACCATATCTAGAACTACACCTAACTCATCCTAAGCTAGGAGTTATGGTCGTTTGAAGTTGACCAAAAAACTCACTTTAACTTACTTAAAATTTTCCAGATTTCCTTATATTTTCCAAAAATAACTATTTCCATATTTTAAACTTCCTTCTAGTTCTTTCTAGTTGTGAGATGTTACAGTTACCAAGTTTGGCTACTACTAGATCATTTTGTAATTGATTTTTAAATATTAACTATATTATGTATGTTTAACTCTCTTATGCATCAGTGATCTTGACAAACAATTGCAAAGATTTCAACAATGAAATAGAGAAGTGAAATAGCATATTATCTAGTAAACACTGGAGTATATACTATGCAAAGATTTATGAAGAGCAAAATTGAAGAGCTACCACGGATGGATTTCAAAAAAATAACATAGTAAACATAATACATTATAAACATAATAACTAGTAGTAGTAAGCAAATTGCCTAATTTCTTCATCACTGCTACATGCATAGCAATGCTCATCTTCCTCATCATCTGCACTATCCCAGCCACTCTTACGAACAAGAGGAACATTCTTAATAGTGCAACAACTCGAGGGTTTATTATCAAATATAGGATTTAACACAAAATAAGATTCCTTCATTTCTTGAAATCTACGTCGATACTCCCATGTTATCTCTCTTTGTTCTTTCGTAACCTTCATTTCGCCAATTGTCTTTACCCCTTGTTCTTTATATACACCGCCTAAGCATATCGATATTATGCCAAAAGCATATTTTACAGCACCGTGTCCTCCTTTCGAAGCTTTGTGAATTAATTCTAGGGCAGCATCTAGATTTATATTTTTTAAAAAGTTATTCTGGAAAAAAAATTAAACTAAACACACATATATTAATTAGAACGAATTAAGCAGTCGAATACATACAAACAAAATTAAAATAAACTATTACCATGCCTTTCTGATACATGGCTTTTGTATTTCCACAGTCTATGCTTTTGTCCATGAAAGCGATGAATGGTATGTTCCTCACATTCCTTAAGCGTACCCATGGATTAATGTGAAACTCTTGCAGCGACAGCTTCCCATATACCCATTGCTGACTTCCTATATCATTAAGAAGCTTGCAACTACAAAATCGATGGGTTAGTAAAGAATAAAGTAAATAATTTAACTTAAATTTCGGTAGATACCTTAGTCGAAGATTTATTAAATCTGTGAATGATGATGAAGTGACCCTTTCTACAATCTCTTCAACCAAACCCCTATCAATGGAATCAAAACAATTCTGTAAATTTTTTGCTCTCTTCATTTTTTTGATTGAAGGTAGATTTTCGGATTCAAACAAGTTTCAATTCAAAGTGAATAATTGCGTAAATTTTTTGGTCTTTGGCTTCTTAAATGACAGTATTAATGTAATGAAGAGTTGCAACTTTGAAACCCTTTTAAAGTAGTGACACTTAGTTCAAATTGTGACTTTTCATTTTTTATACGGAAACGAAAAATATTAGAGTATATTAAACGGAGTAAGACTTGTAGAGAAGTACTATTTCGCTCGCACGTTACACTCCAAAACAATGAGTGGAAATGAATGGTATTGACAATACATTGGAAGTTGTTCCATAAATCCGATCATTTAATGAAGGGGATTGTGTAATTGTCTAGGTATTTGTTCCAAACAGCTACTATGTGCTCTCTTTCCATTACTTAATTTTTTTAATAATTATTTAATGAAATATTTATCTTCTAAGCTAATTTAATGACAAATAATAAGAATAATATATAATGACAAATAAATATTAAGAATAAAATAGTTCAAAAAACATAATATGTGTGAGGTTTTAGTTTATTATATTAGTATTTTTTGATTTTATGTTATTTATTTATATCATATAAATAGTTGTTTGTATCTAATTTTCAAATTATAAAATCAACATATAAGTAACTTTTTTAATCTTAACAATTATTTTTCTTAGGATGCCATCATTACAATTACACAATCCACATGCAGTGAACATCCATTTTTCAATTAATGAAGATCATTGAGTTCCAATATCTGAACTATGGGAAAAATAAAAGAATGAGTTTTGAAACACATTATTAAATGCATAATAAATACATATTGCCACAATTAATGAACATCATTGAGTTCAAAGTTATAATTCGGGTTTGATAACTTAATGTAATAAATTCCCTACATTTATTAATACATATAATCATGATTGTATCATTTTTTATTTTTTTTACTTTTCTTATAAAAGAAAATGAAGTAACGGGTGCCTTCTTTATTCTTTGAACTAATAACTTCATCTTTAAATAAAAAAATAAAAAAATAACTAAAATTGGGGACCTAACCTAGATTCGAAATCGTGACCTATAGACTAATCGTTTAAGCTTTAACCATTCGCTCTGCAATAGCATTAGTTCATAATCACAAATGGAAATTTATTTACTCTCTTTCATATCAGTTGTTTAATGAATATCACTAGGGAATTTAAAATGAGATATTATCAATAAATATAGTCTAATCACCACTAAAATTTGAAATTAAATTGATCAAAGTTTGACATGTACCATAACTAATTGTACTAAGATATATACCCAATTATATCTTGATCATGCATATATCACCACATTCAATTGACTTGTATTTGTGAAGGAGCATAACTCATATAATAATATATCCTTTACATTTATTTTCATCATAATGATTTGACTTATACTAATGAAAAATCTTCAATTGTTGTAAAAAAAATCCAAATATAAACTTTTACAATCTTATTTACCAAAAAAATATGAAATTAAAAAATATTTAAAACCTCAAAGCTTCAAAGGGTCTATTTTTTTTTAAAAAAAAGGGGGGGGACCTGACCTAGATTCGAACTCGTGAGCATTAGAATAATCGTTTAAGCTTTAACCATTCGCGCTGCAAACCATTCGCGCTGCAAATTCGTTCATAATTACGAAAGAAAATTTATCTACTCTCTTTCATATCAGTTGTTTATTGAATATCACTAGGGAATTTTAAAATGAGATATTATCAATAAATATAGTTTAATCACCCCTAAAATGTGAAAATAAATTGATCAAAGGTTGGCATGTACCATAACTGATTGTATTAACATATACACCCAATTATAACTTGATCATGATTATATTCATCACATTCAATTGACCTGTATTTGTGAAGGAGCATAACTCATATAATAATATATCCTTTACGTTTATTTTCATCATAATGATTCGACTTATACTAATGAAGAATAATCAATTCTTGTAAAAAGGATCCAAATAGAAACTTTTACAATCTTCTTTACCAAAAACATAAGAAATTTAAAATTATTTAAATACTCAAACCTACAAAGTTGTTTAAAAAAATATAGCTAAAATGGGGGTACTTATAACCTAGCCTAGAACTCATGACATATGGACTAATCATTTAAGCTTTAACCGTTCGCGCTGCAATAGCATTCGTTTATAATCACGAAACATATATTATTTCTTCTTTTTAAATTATTTTAAATTAGTTAATAAAAGTACTTATGTTGACAGGCTCAATCCACAATATAAAGACAGATCGAAAACAAAGGCCCAAATCAAAATATAAGGACAAATAAAAAAAAAGCCCAATCCCAATACACATAGAATCCAAAATGAAATAACATCACAAAATCGTCTTAACAAATTAATATGTCGTTGATTTTCCAACAACAAAATCCACAAAAAACATTGCTAAAATAATTATAATATGTTCATTAGATAAAAATTTCTTTTCATCCACATGCACTGAATTAAAACATGATTCCCCAGTAGTTTTGTAGCTTAATTTCACTCCATCAATTCGAATATTTCAATCTTCTATAATTCTTGTATTTTCGGTATAAACTATCGCTAACTCAATGGTCAAATTTGCACATTCTTGCCAACTTGAATATATAGAAGATTGGAATATTCGAAGTTGATTAATACACGTACTTGCCCATGAAATGACAATTATAAAAGAAATAGATGGGTGTTGTAAATGAAGAAAAAATTGATGAAGACCTAAAGTTTGGAACAAATATAGTTTACTCCATATAGTATTGATATTGATTTAGTTTTCCAAATGATAATTATGATAGAAAACGAAAATATAGCGTTTTAAAAATGAAGAATGTAGAAAGACCATGAAATTGGTAGAAATAGAAATACGGAACCCATAGAAATATAATGCTCTAAATCTCAATGGAGTATAAGACTTGATATAAATTTACTGGGCAGTGTGAATTGAAAAGAAAGAGTATAGGTTATACTTTTCAGAAGTGGTTTCAATTTCCAAAAGTAATGGTTTTAATAGTATTCAAAGTGGTTTTACTTTGGAGGGTACTTTGGGTACAAGAAATAAATGAATTTACCCAATCACCCTTTCCATTTCTGCGAAATTACGATATTACCTGAAATTTACTGCTCGTGCCATTTCGTGCCAAAAAGATGTCTTCTAAATATATTTTTCGAATATTAATATCCTAATTATACTCCACATAAAAGGCACGTAATACTAATAGTATGAGAGAGAAAAATATGTAAAACAAAATTAAATACAAAAATTAAATGTTTTGTTATGTATGTAATTTAAAAACTTAGTTTGTAATTAAATATAAGTATATTGATATTTTGTTAATAAAAGTCTTAAGTAGTATACTTTTGTAATTTTCACATGTTTGCCACGACCCGAGCCTATACCCCGGAAGCGAGACGGTGTACAAGACTCCAAAAAGTCTCATACAAGCCTCATAGCATTCATAACATTCTATATAAGGAAAATGGTACGGAATTAAAAATTTTCTTTTAAATCCATACAATATAAAAACATTTAAAACAGCGGAAGTCTATTATCTCACATGGCCATATAAAACAATATCTTGAAACAAAAGTAGGGTCACAGCCCCTTTACAATAGAAAGTTTAACAAATGTCTATTACATGAAAGAAAGGAATATCAATAAAGCATGTGTCCTCGAACATATGCGGAATACCAATAGCCTTGGAAGAACTCAATCCAAGCTCTTGAACTAGACGGATAGCAACTCACTTGTCGGAACCTACACTTGTAGTAAAATAAGAGAAATATGGGATAGCACACAAAAATGTACCAAGTATGATGACTATATAAAAACATGCTTAAAACAAACATTTTATTTGAAAGTCACGTTTTATTCCAATTTGAGAAAACTTCATGAACATAAGTATAAGAGGCACACTACTAAAAAAACAATGAATACCGACCTACAAATACAGACCTCCGGAGGTCGATATTCCCTGAAATATCGACCTAAAATCGACATCCCAGCTTAGGTTGGAAAAAGCTTGGTCGCTATTCAATACTGACCTCTGGAGGTCGGTATTTACTGACCTCTCGAGGTCAGTTTTTATTTTATGTCGGAAAATTCATTATTTTATTTTTCGACTTCCTGAGGTCAATTTTATATATTATTATTTTCGACTTTCTGAGGTCAGAATATTTATTTCTCATATTTTGGAATACCGATATTTGGATGTCGGTATTTGTGTCTTCTTAATTTTTAAATTCCGACCTCTGAAGGTCGGTATTTTTCTTTTTGCATTTTTGAGATTCTGACCTCCGGAGGTCGGTATTCTTATTTTTGAGATTCTGACCTCCGGAGGTCGGTATTTTTATTTTTGTAATGTTGAAATTCTGACCTCCGTAGGTCGGTATTTTTATTTTTGTAATGTTGAAATTCTGACCTCCGGAGGTTGGTATTTTTATTTTTGTAATGTTGAAATTCTGACCTCCGGAGGTCGGTATTTTTATTTTTGTATTTTTGAAATTCTGACCTCTGGAGGTCGGTATTTTTAGGTTTGTATTTTTAAAATTCTGACCTCCGGAGGTCGGTATTTTTATATTTGTATTTTTAAAGTTCTGACCTCCGGAGGTCGGTATTTTTATCTTTTAGTTTTGGAATTCTGACCTCCGGAGGTCGGTATTTTTATTTTTTATTTTTGAAATTCTGACCTCCAGAGGTCGGTTTTCTGGTATAAAACAGGCAGCAAATTGCTGCAATTTTTAGTTGTCCACCTGCAAATTTATACCAAAACAATCCAAAGCCAAATAAACTTCATCCAACCAAAACAACACAATATTTTCAACATATACATTAAACTATTTCAAAATAAACTAAAATACGATCAAATTAAACAATTCCAAAAATACAGAAGTCTAAAATGTCAAATAGATACAACTACTCCCCATCACCCTCACTCTCCTTATCAGACTTATCATTCTCATCACCCTCATTTTCTTTATTAGACTTAT